TAGATAAGCCTCTCTCTTCTACACCCATGTCTAAGAGTCTAGTTAGGTAATGTGAATGAATTAGGAAATAACTGAGACAATTTTACATATTTTTCCTAGAGTTTCTCAACGAATATTATTGTTCTAACCGCCATCCTGTTTATCATGATTCATGTTAACAAATCAGTTGCTCGTATGGAACATGGCAGTTCAAATCTAAGGAAATTCCTGAAGTAAGTACAAACCATTATCATGCATGCCCGTAAAGTCAGGCGCAGTACAAGGTGCATGGTATTAGAGAGTTTTCGATTTAGCTACGCCATGTAGAACTTGCTTGCTTGCTTGCTTGCTTGCCTGCTTGCTTGCTTGCTTGCTCCCTGGTAGCTAGAGGATCATAAACATTCACAAAGTTCGTACACTTCATCCAGTTTCATTTGTTTTATATTAACTTTATTACCAAATCATGTGTAAAAAGTAAATTCTCATATTTCAGTTACGATGAGGAGAGAATTTCTTGGTTGAGACAAAAGCGAACTCATGCATACAGAAATCCCTGTAAAAAAGAAGAAAACGTTGTATATACAAGTAGTTTGGACAAGACCAACAGTTGCCAAAATTGTACGTACTTTCCATCAACACTCAAAGAAGTCAAGTGTAGCACGGGACATGGTTTAAATGTGAGGGGCAAAACAAGTTGTAATTATAATATTGATGGTGATTGTATTAACATCGTAGCAACTATAAAAGTAATCAAAGCATATTCAAAGAATCAGCAAGTAGAACGTGATGTCCATCTCAAGGTTGGATGTGCGTGCATGTTGCCGCCGGTTTAAGTTTTATGAAGCTTCATCATCTTTGTTCTTTTCCTAAATGTATTGGGAACTCTTAGCTAAATATCCGTCTAAGCACGGTTGTTAAATTGTAGTTAGGGCATTTTAACTGGTAAAGATTAATTGAAAAAAGCATTTTAACTGGTAAAGATTTTACTGGTAAAGATTAATAGATCTCAGTTTCGCATGCAAATTTTGTCAGTATAATTTATTGCTTGAATATGTTACTGAACTACAGGGTGTATCAAAAAAAGCGCAACCTCGGAATTTCCTAAGAAATCACTTTGCAATTCTTAAGCATAAAAGATTTTGCTTTATGCACTCGCGTGTGCAGTAATTTTGACAGTTATGCTATTTTAAATTCCCAGGCGCCTAAAATCTTTTGTCTTTAAAACAATGTCGATGTCTTGGGAAATTCCGAGGTTGCGCTTTTTTTGATACACCCTGTATACTCTATATAATGAGATGTGGAACACCTAATTGGACTGACTGTACGAAGGCTGGAAGTCAATTGTAAAAGGCTTAACTTTTTAAATGTAAGGAGCAAAACAAGTTGTGAATATAATATTTCAGATGCATGATTGGTTGGACATCGTCGCAACAATAATACACGCGTAAAAATTGATCAGGTTCGGCGTTGTTCAAACAGGAGCGAACAATGTTGTGCTGCACCCCATGAACAATATTGTTAACAAGTTGTTCAACCATCAATGCTGTTGCAAGTTGTTAACATTATTGTCAACAAGTTGCAACAACACTGATGGTTCAACAACTTGTTAACAATATTGTTCACGGGGAGCAGCACAACATTGTTCGCTCCTGTTTTGAACAACTTGCATCAACATGATGATTTTTACGCGTGTAGTATATGGAGGGTGTCAGTGGCGTGCTGGCAGGGGGGGCCGGGGGGCCACGGCCCCCCCCCCCAGCTGGCAATTCTTGGGGGGGCGCAAAAATGAATCAAAGGCCTTCGAGGCCGACTCACGGATGAGATCAAATTAATTAAAGGGGGATATGATTTACAGCAGTTTTTTACAAATGGGAACCGTGCAAGGGCAAGGACATTATTTGGTAAAACACAACATAATATAAAATGTTCCCGAACTGGGGCGAAGATCTTACAGGTTTAAACAGTTTAATTTTAACGACATCCTCGATTTTAACAATAAGAGACCGGTCATCATTTGTGGAAGGGGGGGGAGGGAAAAAATAAGGGGGGCATATGCAGAAATAAATGACTAGAAGGGGGAGGGGGCTATTATTTTTTTTCAAGAAAATGACAGGGGGGGTTGCAATTAAACTTGAAGGAATTTGCTTAATAACCTGGTATCCATTTGGTTGTAAATGTTGCAACTAAATCATGGTCACTGATGTGAAATAGTCAGGATTCATCTTGTCTTGTGTGTGCTGTATGCAAATCAGTCTTTACGGATTGCAGACTAGTTAAATTGACAATGTATTATTACATCAGCTCTTGATGTGGTTAAATACATTTAAATTAAGCAGTTAACGGCGTTTGTATTATGCAGGCCACATCCGCTGAAGGGAGTCTGTGACGTCATATCGATCAAAGAGGGTTGTTTCATGCCTTGTGATCAGTGCTTGGGTCTGGGTATTCATTCTGCCATTGTATGCTTTGCCTAGCTGCAGCAAGTTTTGCGCTTCGATTCCTTTTCCCGACCCACCCACCCATGTTCATTCTAAAAGATTTTATCTGGTAGCTAGTATATGTCATTTTATTTTATATAATTTTAAATCTCACATAAAATAGGATGTATATACCACTATACATTGTATTTCGCAGGTATGCCTTGGCAGAATTGTCATTGCTATCGGCAATTGATAAAACTAGAATAGTGAAGCGAATAGTGCGAATAGTCGACGAATAGTACGAATAGTCCGCGAATAGTCGACGAATAGTGCGAATAGTCCGCGAATAGTCGACGAATAGAGCGAATAGTCCGCGAATAGTCGACGAATAGTACGAATAGTCCGCGAATAGTCGACGAATAGTACGAATAGTCCACGAATAGGCGACGAATAGTACGAATAGTGCAATAGAGACTTTGCAAGGCTTTGCAGCAGTGCTGTAGAACTAAATTTACCGGGGGGGGCTCTGTTGACAAACATGAAATCGTGAAAACATTCGTCGACGTACGTCAATGACGTCATACGTCTAGTGATTGTCATCAGTGGCGCGTGGCCGGGGGGGGCATGGCCCTCCCCTATTGTTGACACCCGTCGTAAAATTGCCAATGCTGCCGGAAATTGTCGGAAAATTGTCAAGGCTGTCGGAAATTGTCAAAGTTGTCGACGGGGGGGGGGGAAGATTTAAAATGTTGTCGTCCGGAAAACTTTTTGGTTTGTCGGAAAAATTTTTCGGTTTGTCGGAAAAGTACTGCCCTTGCCCCCCCCCAAAAAAAAACATGGGTCCCACGGCGCCACTGATTGTCATTCTACTTCCTGTTAAATATTTGTTAAAACTCAGTGGTCCCGTAATTTTTACCGATTACGTATGACGTCATTGACATCAACGAATGTTTTCACGATTTCATGTTTGTCAATAGAGCCCCCCCCCGCCCCGCTTCGGTAAATTTAGTTCTACAGCACGGTGGAAAGCCTTGCAAAGTCTCTATTGCACTATTCGTCGACTATTCGTACTATTCGTCGACTATTCGCGGACTATTCGCACTATTCGTCGACTATTCGCGGACTATTCGTACTATTCGTCGACTATTCGCGGACTATTCGCACTATTCGTCGAGTATTCGCTTCACTATTCTAGTTTTATCAATTGCCATTGCTATCTCCTTTTGCTGCTAATATTACTGATTGTTGCTCTCATTGTTGCTGCGGTGCAGCTGCTATGGCAAAACTTCGTACCATCAAGTCTCACATAAAATAGGATGTATATACCACTATACATTGTATTTTGCAGGTATGCCTTGGCAGAATTGTCATTGCTATCTCCTTTTGCTGCTAATATTACTGATTGTTGCTCTCATTGTTGCTGCGGTGCAGCTGCTATGGCAAAACTTCGTACCATCAAGTCTAGTTGCAGCCTTAAACATGGTTACAATCGCCCAGACCAAATGGAAACCTGATTTTAGTGTTCTATATAAAAATACTCCTCTTTTAATTATAATTTTCTGCTAATAAATATATATTTTTGGTTGACGTTAATATCTTGCCAGTTCCATATTCTTATTTAATAATTAATACTATAACGCCTGCATGGGTATCCCCATTTGACGAGTAAAAATGAAAATGGGGGGGGGTGGTCAAACTATAACGCCTGGGTATCCCCATTTGACGAGTAAAAATGAAAGTGGGGGGGGGGGTCAAAGAAAAATATTCTAATATGCAGGAGGAGCCATCATTAAATTTCTGCCATTTAGGGGGAGGGGCTTTCAATTTTAAAAATTTAGAAAAGAAAAAATTCCCCTCCCCCCTTCCATAAATAATGACCTGTCCCTAACCAATATCAACAGTCTTGAAAAAACAATCTGATAGATTATTATAAAACTACACACCATCAAATCAAATCTATATAAAAGTACAATAACCGTAGCTGTCAGGTGTGTATAGTGTTCAACAGAATAATTATAAGTATAAAGCTGTACCTAATACAGTCAGTATCAGTACATCCAATGACTGTGGCTTTCCGATATGTACAGTGTTAAACAGACTGACAATTTAAACATGATAACTATAATAAGTATAAAGCTGCACCCAATGTAATATATCAAATGACCGTAGCTGTCCGATCTAGAGTGTTGAACAGGACAATTTAAACATGATAGCTATAAGTATAAAGCTGTAACCAATACAGTACATGCTGCATCATCAATGACCGTAGCTGTATGATGTACAGTGTACAGTGTTAAACAGAAAAATTTAAACAGAACAACTATAAAACAGCACCCTTATTGATACAACGGTACAGGTAGCTGTCCAATGGCAGTACAGTGTTTAAGTAAATCCAGGTGGTAATGCTGCCTCAGTGTCCAATATTCTTTTTCTTTTTAGACCATTTATAATTGTTACCAAACTGTGAATAAACATAAATATCTACATTGAAAAGGGAATGGCTGCAAAATTTCAATATCAGTCCCCCACACACCACTGTTCCTCATGTTGCTTGTGGCTAAATATTGATCTACTGAACTATTCATATGTGGTCTAAGGACATGTTCTATACTGTTCATGTGATCCACTATTTTTTGTCTTAAAATCATGTGGTATGTTTGTCTACCGGTTAAAATATACGACAGTGCTCTAAATAAACAATTGCCATCCCCAGTAATCCGACAGAGTTTCGTTGGATTAACTAGTGGTTTTGATGTTGTTTCATTGCGTCTAAATATAACTATAAGTGGGACATTCATCAAAGAGCATAAGGACAGCTGAAATTCTCCTGATAGAGGATAAAAATGAAGCGATTTATCGATACACTGCTGAGACTCGTCCGTGCCAGCTGATACTAGGCTACAGTGCAAGCGCAGTCATATGAAATATACAACGGCAACGTGACTTTAATACCAAGATTTTGTGTCGTGTTGCTTCAAATAAGACAAATATGTCCTTTGTATTCCGTGACAGCTAAAACATGAATTATTTAAATAACATGATTAAATTTGGTAAACAAAAAACTCTTTCAATCGACAGAAACTATGGAAACAGTGTTGAAACGGTGTTGAAACACAGCTGACAGAGGCGCTCGAAAGGCACCAGAAAATGTGAACACTTGTATATATATTGAACAAAATATTGTTAATATTTCAGCTAAAAGGTAGATCGGTGTGTTAACAGCAGATCTGTTGGGTGAAGTAGAAAAACAGATAACAATTAAGCCAACTAAACAAAAACGAAACACTCACCTTTTAATTTAACATAAAGTCAAAAGTTGAAAAGAACGTGAAGCGTGCTCCAGCCCAATTTTCGGTTCCAAAAGACCCGTTCGCAGGCAAACACTGCGCGCAAAGCAGGCTGGTCATTTCCCATTGTTTAACTGCCCCCACTCAAGTAAACCACAAAGACTCACAGATGTTGCTTCGCAACATCCGTGAGTCAAAAACGACTCAGCTTAATTTATGAGTTCATTAAATATAATACAAAACATAATCCGAAGATAAGCATCTTGAAACCCAAAATATGAGTTATGATGATTTTGTAATAAAATCGAAATATTACTCACTCACTTTCTTGTTTGACTCATATTTTGGGTTTCAAGATGCTTATCTTCGGATTATGTTTTGTATTATATTTTTCGAAATTGTCGGCTGGTATTGGTTTTTATGAGTTCATTGGCGAAGTAATTTTAAAAATAAACGTTGTCTAAGCCGAGAAAATCAAAGTTAAAGTTTATGTAAATCAACATGAATCTGTATCACATATATAGATACGACACGCTTATGATTTTTCTTTGTGTTTTCTTCATGAATTATTAATCAGTTTTTTAAGTTTAATTACTCCTCCATCTTTCGCTTTTGGATATAAACCCTCCTTCATGCCTGACATATTTTTTGGTTATCTGCATCCTTCACTTAGTTCACTAAAATCAAAATTTTCTGTTCCAGCTTGCTCAGAAAATATTCAATCTTTCATAACTGGAGTTATCTTTGACATGTAAAATCACCAGGCAGTACCCTCAGTAAAAAACTTAGCTTTACCTACCTCGATTTATTTTTCTAAGGCGCTCGATTATGTAAATTTTCGGCGAATAATCAATATATAAATTTTCTTTGCGTTTCCTCGACGAAAACCCGGCATGAACATGCTCGTCGGAAACTCGGTATTTGTCGTATTTTACGAATCTGCAACGTGCTGGTACGCTCACTGCTCACCGAACACGACACGAAATTTAGAGCTATATGAAAGTTGCATGCCATATATCGCATGCAACAAAAATGCGGCAGCTTCTAAACTGAAAATGTCTTAGCTGATGGTTCCAAAAAATGTTCTGCGGACAACAACAATGGGAATATCAGCATGGTTTATCGTTGAACAATCAGACGTCGCCATTTCCAAGATGCAGCTTTTATGACGAGTAACGATTGTGGAATTCCTGGATTTTTTAAAGGAAACTATGACCGGTTATTTCAAGTCAGAGGTAGCATTCGTTGTCTGTTCGGAAATACAATTTATCAAACAATCATTGCAGTACAATCAGCGCCGCACAGAGAAATTCGGGGGCCCGGAGCAAATTTTTAATTCGGGATTTTTCCCCAAAAAAGTTGTCGAGGGGGGAGGGTTAAAAATTTTTGCCGAACGACATATCAAATAAAAAAAGGTTGAAAATTTTTTTTTTCCAGACAAACACCAGTAAAATTAAGGTTCAAAAATATTTCTCCGGACAAATACCTGTAAAATCACGGATAAAACACATTTTTTCGGACCAATAGCAGTAAAATTAGGGTCTAGAAGATTTTCTCATATCATTACTTATACAAGTGATTTTTTTTAATTACACCTTTTGGGGCCCCCCTTTTTGCAAATGTTGCATGGGTCCCCATTTAACTGTGGCGCCGGGGCAAATTACCCCATCCCCCCCCCCCACCACTTCTGGGCGGCCTTGAGTAAAATACTTATTATTTTCATATTTTATTCATGTATTTCAGCACCTCAAACAACAACGAGACCTCCTGCACAAGTCACCGGTAAGTTTTATATTAATCTTTCAATTTTCTTTATTTGTTTCGTGGAAAAGACTACGTTTTGCATCTTTGCGCACGAATTACCCTCACATGCACTACGAGTATTAGAGAGTTTTAATTTACACATGCATGCATTTTTTGCTGCAATTTTAGCGCGATTTTGCGATCTTTACAAATTAGCCCTCTTGTGCTCGAATTTGTTTCCATACTTCTTCTTTCATTGGCCGTTGCCGAGTGAGATTGACGTATTACATACGAGTTTCAATTCAAATACCTATGAAACGTTTGTCGCAAGCTATACTCCTGCAATTGAAAAAAAATATTTTTGCCTGTTTCTATACTTGCACATATGGCATAGCATCATGCCTGGCCCAAAGAGTTGCCCGAAGAGCAGGCTGCAGTACTACAGTAGTTAAAAATGTTCCTTGAGAATATCCTGTGCAGAATGAAAGCCCCCAAAACAACAACAACAACAACAACAACAACAACAACAACAACAACAACAACAACAACAACAACAACAACAACAACAACAACAACAACAACAACAACAACAACAACAACAACAACAACAACAACAACAACAACAACAACATCAACAACAATAATTAAAAATAGCTGTCCCTAACGATCCCCAAATGCACGATATGAACTACTGTATTTGAGTTAGGATTGAACGTTGGGGCTAGAATAGGAATAGACGTAGAGTTAGCGAAAGGTCACAAGAGTAAGCATGATGCCATAGTTAATACTAGGATTAAATGTCAAATGAGATTGTTAATTTAGAATTGCTCTGTTAATTTTGAGGTACAAGTACAACATCATCAAATTTGTTCCAAATTCAAAGTTCAGGCTATAATAAATGCCTGACAGCGAGTTATGTAAGCCGACGTGGGGTTTACAGAAGAACATTCAATGGAAAACGATACGTGTACTCTTACCATTATGTAGTCGCAACTAGTGTAGCGCTATCATTGAGCGGCTGCTACATCTCCAAACAGCAGAGCTGGCGCTGGACATCAGATGGACGTCTTCAGTCAGATTTAAATCAACAATGTCTTGCCGTGACCCGTGATAACGCAGACCACTGGTATCCACGTAAAATATACGGAGCATCACTGCAACCTTGCAATTCTACTACGAGCGATCAAGGTTGGGTCTGTAATGGTGGTTTTTTAAAACTGAAGAACAAGAATTTGTACCTTATACCATACATATACACTGGCAACCCAGATATTGGTGGTATTGTAATAAGATCTAGTGTGACCAACAGCTGCCTGTGGGCACGCTATGGTACTTCGAAATCACTCTGTGGAAATGGTATGTTGGTCTATATGTATAATACATAATGTTTGTGTACTAAGATATCCTAAACATAATGTTGGCTCTCATTATCACCAGCAGCTGATATTATCAATCAGAACTGACTGATGAGCTAGCTGAGCCATATCTTTGGTTCGATTTTGTTCAACTAAATTACTCAAAAGTACCACCGTAGCAAAACGGCTGGTGCTTCCTTTCGCCCGAAGAAAAATGTCATATTTTTATGCAAATGCATTCAGAAATGTACGGGACTATATTCTTGCGCTTGTTGCTATCAAAGTAGGAAACAATTATTAGCCAAGCTCTGCATAGTTTATCGTAGAACAATCAGATGTTACCATTCTTAAGATGTAGATTTTACGAATGAGGCAACATTGTCGAATTTCTGAATGTTTTGCAGGAAAATATGGCACGTTATTTTGCATGACAGGAAACATCGGCTGTTTTCATAATATAATGAAATAAACATTGCATTAATATATATTTATATATTTCAGCACCTCGAACAACACCGACACCTACTGCACAAGTCACTAGTAAGTTTTACGTGAACTTCCTTATTTATTTGGTGGAGAAGAACACGTTTACCGTCCCTGAGCCCAAACCCTCACCAGCACAAGTCTTAGAGTCCTTAAGGCACATTTACAGTGCTTCGGTGCATTCGTTCGTTCATTGATTAAAACTTGCTCTGTTATAAATGACTTCGTAAGGGTCTGGGATATAATAATACTAATAATAATGGGTTTAGTACTCGGGTAAATTACATTACATGACGCTACTTCGGACGGCTCCTTGCAATGGATGAACCATACCGAATCTTAGTTTGCAGCGATAATCAATTTGCATGTGCTATAAGGAAATGAAAATATGTGTCTGAAGCGATAAATTGTAAAAATGTGCTTGATTAACATTTGTTGCGAGAAATTTTTACTTCAAGACATTCTCAATAGGCCAATCCTACGTAAAAATGTGGCAGATTCCTTAACTGATGTCTCCGTCAGAATAATCAGACGTCGCCATTCCCAATATGTAGCTTTTACGAGCAGCTAACAGCTGGGAAATTTGCTGTCGCTGTGCAGAGAAATTGCTGGCGCACGCGATATTTTCCAAAAATTCGAAAATTTGAAAAAACAACACGAGTGAAATTTCAACTGATGATTTTGCATTTTTAAGACGGCGATCAAGTAAATTAAATCGTAGGAAAAACTTCACTAACATCTCAAGTATGGAAAGCATCTACATTATAAGCATTTTAATTTTGGATTGATTCAAAATTCAGGCGATAAAGTTACATAGCTAGGAGTTGGCTTTTGTGCTCTTCGAATATCCGTTTTCATTCGCGGATTACCACAACTTGTTGGTCTCATGGGTGCCAAAATCGACATAAACGTAAACCGGTAACCAAGAGCTATAAAACAAATAGCTTTTCAAAACGATAAACTTTATTCAGTCAAAAGGATGAGGGTAAATAAACATGCAACCAAATCCAACAGCAATGACAATGTAAAAAAGTTGTGTGGCACTAAACGTAAAACAGCGTGGAATTGTCTATAAAGTCAGTGATATACCAATAAATCCATATGCTGTCAAACCGAATTGCTAGAACCAACATGTAAACCTACTGGCCAAATATTTGATAAAATCGACTTGGGATATGAACAATTAATACCATTTGGCTTTCGATTTACGTATTTGCGTCGCTCTTCATGGCCAACTAT